TGAGGCAGAAGGATCGCCGGAGTCCAGCAGGTCGAGGCTGCGGTGGCCGGGAGCGGCCACTGCACTCCACTCTGGGCGACAGAGTGAGACTCCAACTCAAAAAAAAATTAAAATTAAAAATAAATTGTGCTTCTTGGTGCCCAAGGGTTCAGATCAGTACTAGCCTTCATTCTCACTGTCCAGTGTTCTCTCCTTTGGTCCCCATACCTGTCCAATGAGTAAGAGGTTATATAAACTGCCCAAGAATACATGGCTAATAAAAAGAAAAGATCCTGTCCTTTGCAGCAACAAGGATGGAGCTGGAGATCATCATCTTAAGTGAACAGACTCAGAAACAGAAAACCAGACACCACATGTTCGCACTCATATGTGAGAGCTAAATGGCCACAAAGATGGAAATAACAGACACACTAAAAGGGAGAAGGTGGGAGTCGAGCTAGGGTGCAGAAGTTACCTATCAGGTACACCATCCTCACCAGTACACAATAAGCCCATGTAATAAACATGTGCTTGGACCCCAAATCTAAAACAAAACAAATAAACAAAAGAATACATGGCTAGTAAATGTCAGAGCAGGGGTTTCAACTGTGGTCTAGATCACCCCAGGGCCCCACTACCCTCTACTATCTCTGCTGGTAGAAAACAGTCAAACTCCAAAGAAACACAACCATGGAATCAAGCACACTTCACAAAAGAACTCCTCACCTCGGACCCTTCCAACTTTCTGCAGGAGAGAAGCAGATGACATTCCCAGGAGGCCCCAAGGATGGCTCATCCTAAAGTCTAGAACTCTGAGCTTTGAGTGGAAGAGCTGCTGAAACCTACACAGCAGACTGGAGAAGTGTGATGTGGTCTGAGAGCTGAGTTGGAAGTCTGGAACCCTGGGGTTCGCATCATGGTTCAGCCTCTAGCTGCGTGTGTGTCCCAGACAGACTGGGATGGACTGGGGAAGCAAACCCTGCCCAAGGAGGCGGCAGCTGTGAGCGCTAGTTGACAGCTGTTAGGAGGCAGCACGGGTCAGTCTTATCAGATCTTCTGACTTTTTTTCAAGAGAAGCCAGAAACTCAGATTTTATGAAACATCTCCCAATTTTTAAACAAACCACATCTCTGTCCAGATCGGCTAACGACATCAGGCAACCCCCAAGTCACTCTGAGAAAGAGAAACTAAGCTCTTCACGATGACCACCATACCACCAGTCTTCCCATTTCTCCATCAAGTCAAGTCCCTTCTAAAGCTTCCTGTTATTGGTCACCGCATTGATGGCATGTGCTGCCTGACTGCCACACGTCATCGCCTTACTTCCTGTGCACTCTGGAGCAGAGGTATTATCATTCCTGTTTATGAAGTGGAGAGGTGAAAACGCAGAAAGCCCAACCTCTACAAACGCCAGACTCAGGCTTCCAGAACGTCTTAAAGCATTGTTGCCATCTTTCATGTGTAAAAAACAGAAACCACAGGGACAATGACCTGTCCGAGTGACCCTCTTGTTCCTTCACTACACTGTGTGGAATCGCTCCCCCAACCAGACACATATTCAGGTTCCTTACCTGTAAGAGACCTCCCAGGATCTTGTGATCATTCTATTAGTTACTGCATGAAAAATGCTCAGAACAGAGCAGAAAGTGTGGCGGGTGAGCTACTGTGGTTGCTATTTGATTAGACAAGTGAAACTCTCACACTTACCTTTGATTCAAAATAACAATCAGATTTTAGAAGCATAGAGCTTCCCACTATGAACCCTTGATCCACACCTGGATCACAAAGCTCTAAGACATGAAGCATTGGACAGAGGAACAGGGCGAGAGCTGTGAAGTTGGCCACCTGACTTGTTTTCTCCTCTGCCTCTAATGAACTTGAACATAAAGTCCAACTTCAATGACTATGTGCATTTAATGCACAAACGCTGGTTCCATGACTCCTGGAATACCGCACTGGCAATGCTTCCCCTCCACCGCCACCCCAGGAGCCAGTGAGGGCCAAGAGTCCGGTGTGAACTCCCTGGGAGCACAGCAGGAAGGCGGGTGACATT